CAATGAGAAAGTACTCATGAGAAGTGAGAGTTAACAAGGAATGGATTATTCAATTTTAGATAATCTCAGGTCCTTGAAAATAGCATTGGACGACACGGCTTCCTCACATCACTCCAGACGAGCAGCAATTACGACCACTTTCTTCGTCAACGTACATATGTATGTTTTCTTTGTCCTTCCCATACCAGGATCGATTGAAAGGTACCAATAAGGTAACCAGCATCAGTACTTCAGCACATTCCACCGATCCGCAGATACCAAAAAGAGAAAGAATTACGACGAGAGTCCTTCACATTTCCCATTACGTTTTCATCTTGATCTTGCACATGGCGCCTCTTTGTTTACTAGCTCCGGGAGCAGCAGCAGCAGCAGCAGCAGCACTACTGCTATTGAACCGACTTCGTCGTCTTTTTCAACTTTTATTTTATTAATAAAAAATAAATAAAACAAAGAATTCTGGATTTTTAGTCGAAGGACCCGAGACTGAGCAATTATGCAACACCGTACCCTTTCGAGGTGCAGGATTTATAGCAATAATTCGTTATTCAATCTTCAGCATCCTTCCCCGCTGTTGTCTTTCGCCTCGCCGCCGTCGACGGCGTCACGAAACCGCCATTTGTAGCGTCGTCGACCGCCTCCATCATCACGCCGTGCTGTCTTTTATGCACATTCGTGTGTACTACTTGTATATATATGGATAAGCTCATGACCAAGTCTTGGCAGAGAACTTTGTCTTCTCTCATCCAAGTCTAAATAGAACGTGGGGGAGAGTTCAATGTCAACGCATTTCAAGATTGTATATATAGTTCTTCACTTATTTTCTTATTGTTGAAATGGCACTATATATGCTGCGCAGACATGCTTCTTTTAAAATCTTTCTAATATTCGAAAATACATGCTTTGTGTGGGTCTGGAACGAGGATTAGATTCGAATGCTCGAGCTTTCGATTTGCCCAGTGATATATGAGAGGTGGTGAGCAGCTGAAGAATTATGACCCGAAGCCAAATGTCGTCATGCTTCAAACAACTTCGCATATGTCATTAGCGATATACGAATGCATGCAGCTTATCAGGTAGAGCTCGGTTTGAGAACCTGTTTCCCACAACTTTATTAGCGTTGGGTCTTTTACGTGCGCATTAGACTGGGCTGTAGACAAAATGAATGCAAAATAAGGATCACATCGGCAAGATAAGGAGCAAAAAATCGACAAAACGAAGAACAAAATAACGAACGAAATAAAGAAAATAAAAAGCATCAGCTTTCTTCATTCTGAAGAACATTTTTATTGGTAGGATTCGCCGAAATTGAGAATCCCTAAACAAATTCAGTAAAACCTTTGTCGCCAGAAGGCCTCAGGGTAAATAATATAGCTTTTTTTCGATTGAGAATTCGTAAAAAGTATGTCTTTTAGTATAATTGCTATAGAGTTGGGACTTGGAAAAGGACATCCTTGTAAGCAATTACTGTATGCATTTCAACAAGATTTACTGTGATGGGATTTGTGGCAATGAGATCCGCTGTGAATATAGGTAAGCGTTGTAACGAGATTCTACTGTGATGGATGTTTCTTTTATACTTATATGTACTATTCCCTCAATAGAGTTAACTGAATATTGTGTAAGGCTCCTTTTCTCTGAAGAAAATAAAACAATTCCGTAATACCGTACTGTAGGAAACATGCGGTTCTTCCAACAGACTTTTTTTTCAGATCTAAATTGGATGGCTTCAGTTTTAATTCTCAATTTGGAAAAACCCCATGTAAAGAGGATAATAAATCTTCTAATTCTCATGGTATATATATTTTTCTGCATGCTTCTCCGCAAATGCTGTAGCGATTCGTCTGGAAAAGAAGTACAGTATAGCGCAATCCTAAGAAGATTATTAAAAATATGAAAGTATTCATTGCTTGATAGATGCTTGAGCTGCTGCCATTAACTTAAGAAAACTTCCATCTATTAAGAGAATACTTTTTCAGAATCTTGCAATCTGAGATTTAAATTTTAAATTATAATCATTGTCAAACCCTTGGGCTCCACAAACTTTGAAAGAGTTGTGGTCCAACAAAACATCCCAGCAAATAATTTGTTAAAGGCAGGGCTGAGTGTAACAGCTACGCATAAACATAATGCATTTTTCACGCGTATAACTGTTACAAAATATTCAAAAATTAATCATATGATTAATTTTTTAATATTCTGACTTCATCAAAACACTAACTGGTATCCAAAATGAGGTACAGAAATGGGGAAAAAAGCTTTCCTGCTCATGTGGAAACATACTCGACTCAAAAAATGAAATTCGTCATCGTTAATTCATTCCCAAATGTGTTCATGATTGAAGAACCTCCGAAACCGAAACCCCTTTGGCAATTATTTTCGGAAAGAGCATGGGAAATTACACAATAACGTATCTGTATCACGATAATAACCCTCGCGGAATGGGGTCTAATCGGCAACAAAACGGAATTTCGGGCTGGAATAGCGAATCATGCGCATATTCGGCATTTGCATGCAATAATTGATGAGCGATTCCCTCCCTCCATCAAGTGCTGACCGTTTTTCCTGCAATTGTTGGTAACAATCGTAAGTGTCGGCTCCAACGCCTTCACGCGATAATCAGGACATGCCAATCGCCGCAAGTGATTGTGAAAAATCTTGTTGCACAGGAGAAAAACGGATTTTTTTTTACCTCATTTCTGAAAGCATTGGATGATTCAAAAACAATATTACAATCTCAGTACACGATGCTTCATTTTAATCAGAGCCCATCCCTTCATGATCTGTTGCTCAACTTGATAAAGTATGGTTTACGTGACATGAGTGAGGAGTTCTTGTTCAACGTTATTGAGGACAGAGTCTCCAATATAATTTAGTTTTGAGTGTTGGATAAATAAAACAAGTTGGTCAGTCCAGGACAGGACCGGGATTCCTATTAGGAATTCCTAGTTTAAGCGATTAAGGTATATTTCAGGAATAAATGGATAACAACAAGTAACAACTCAATGAGCTTGGGCTTGGATAATGCACAGCTGAACACAACTGATCTAATGAGAGAATATGAGGATGCTGCTTATATAGTATTTGCAATCAGAAACCTTCATAAGGTTTTACCACTCTAATGGCAACAGGAAAAAGTAGTCATCAAAGATGCTACACACAGGAAAAGGTAGTCATTGAAGATGCTACGGTGCCAGGTACGTCCTGACACCATAACCAGTACCAGGTTGTGCCTGGCACTGCAATTTTGAGGAGGGGAGGATAATTCTGAGAACTTTAGGTATTATAGTGTACATTAGCATGCATGCCCAATAAACATTGTTCTGTTTTCATTATACCCTGGTATATTATTGATATACTAAAGTGCATCAGCAAAAAGTTTGATATTAAGTATAGACTAACAATGCATGCATTTTTTCCCCCTGGAAGGTACTCTAGCTCCCAAATCTGAGGCCAGACAAAATGTAAGCTCTAAATGACTTCTCCTCTAACACTCTTTCGAAAAATTTCAGGAAGGTCAAGCTTATGTGGGAACTGGCTGAACAGGTACTGCATGAAATTGTGCTCAATAATTGCCTTGCGCTGTGATTTTTTGTCCTACTTGAACAAAAGTATGGAATTTCATTATTTGTGCACTTGGTATGATGTGTTCTGTGTTTTTTCAACCCTCACACATAGCTAAGCAATGGGTTTGCTTCATCCTGCAGCAAAGTTGGGATATTTCCAAATGTAGGTGCATTTCTGTTTGATCAAAGGTCACTGAAATGCCACTGAGTAGTTTTTGCAGGTTATAGTGAGTATGGGTTCTGCCAAAGGTCACCCAGCAAACAGCATCAGTGCAGAGTGGCTTGCGGAAGGAAATATTTGCATGAGCTCGGAAAGAAAAATTGGCAATTTCCAGCAGACCTTATTCCCCCTCAATTTCATATATCCTATTTGGTTGAACATTGCAAAAAACCAGCCTTTAGAGCTTTTTTGGCTCTCCCTAAAGCACAGCTATAGGAAAAATATGGATGTTTCTCAACTTGGGCTAAATTTTGCCAGTGGAATATTGTATTGTTAAAATTGAAAGTATCTATATGGAGGAAAACTGCCAAAAAATTCAAGCACAACTGTCATGGGTCCATTGGATCCCAGACAAAGGAATTGAATTGCGCAGCCATCAGAACGCACGTTTTGAATAAGAACTCAGACTCTTTTCAGAGGAGTTCATTCTCATTGCCCAGTTCATCAATTGTCTGTTGAATCAATTGTTTTAATGGCAGAGTCAATGGTTAGCTCAGAATATTGAATGAGGTAATTTAAAGTTAAAAGGCCCTTAAACACTAGGTTCTGACTTCTCTCTCAAAAAGGAATGAAGACTTTTATAGCCAGGTGCTTGGACTGGGTCAGGAAGAAATCAGGTGATTTATTCCTGAAATCACAGAAATCAGGTGATTTCTTCCTGGCTCAGGATTGGCCAATTCAGGCAAAATTGAAGAAGTGATGACCACTTCTTGCCCTTGAGTGAGGCCCAGTCAGTCTTGCAAAAACAGGATTTTTGCAAGGCTCACTGGCCTCGGAAATGTAACAAGTTTTCTGGGCTGGTTTCAGCCGGATGCTGGAGCTGCATCGCTTTGGGCCGCGACAAAAACTACCAAAGGGTTAATGCATATATTTTTTCAAGTTTTCTGAGTATATGAGGAACACTCGTAAAGCTTATTGTACAGTATTGCACAAAATGGTATCAATGGATCCATAAATAAATAAATACTGTAGATTGATAGATAGATACGGATTATAGTTAGATTAGATAGATAGATGGATGGATGATGGAGGATTACATATGTGGCCAACCCGAAAATTGATGAGGCCCAAGAGGAAAACTCTTCAGCCCTTGGAAAATCACACGTACAGTATACCCAAGTGCCCTTGCCGGACCCGAAATGACCGGCGCAGAGTTTCCACCGGGCACAAACTCGTCGTCTTCCACGACGAAGGTGGCCTTCAAATAGTACCCCCGTCTAATGGACAAGCAAGACGTGATTAACGACTCTCTGCTCGAGAATCTCTTCTTCATCACCCGGCTCATCCCTTTTGGATGATCTCGCAGCCAACATCATCAATTTCCACCACTCTGCAAGCAGCATGGGAATGCTGAAGGGGAAAGCGAAAACGCGTTGTCGGTCAGCATAATAAGCCCTCGAGACGGCTTTCGGCAATTGCCAAGGACACGCGATCGCCCTTATCAAGCTAATGAACGAAAAAGAAACTCTTCAGCTCTTTTTATTTATTTACTTATTCACTTTTTTTTCAGTTTCATTTCTTCCAAGACGTAGAGGTTTCTTATTTCGTACCGAGATTTCTCCGAGACCTCGTGAGGTCATGCATTTTCTAAATACGCGCGTTCAAAAGAATATTTTACTCGTCACAAATGTCATGGAAGAACGGATATTATGAAGATACGCGGAATCGAAAAATTTTTCTCTTTGAAACTTTCTTCCGCCAGCTTTGAATTCTTCTATTGTCTACACTGGATTTATTGCTAAAAATGACAAATGCCGTCGTGAAGCAAATCGTTGAGTGAATCGCGAATCTTCCGGAAATGTATTGTATATGAAGAGCGTAGAAAATATAGTGGAGCAATGGATGAACTTAATCCATAAAATTCTCAGGAAATGCTGATTTTTTTGGATCAAAATTATTCAAATCTCCGTGGAATTTTTAAAGATTCTGTCAATTGTTCATTTAATGAAGTACAGTAGTCATGGATACCATGCGGAGTATTACGAAATAGCCTGATTCATCGACTTTGAAAGAAACGCATCAAGCTAAGAAAAAAAATTATATATATACTGTATACAGTAAATATATAGATGGATTTTGACTCTATTTCTCAGGTCAGAAGGTCAAAATGGGAGATTATTGAACCGTTTCCAAAGTTTAATCAAGATGAATTGCGAGGATAAAAGATCTCAAAAACAATTTCCGGACCTGAAAAAATACAGTATGTCAAAAACAATTTCCGGACCTAAAAAAATGTCAAAAATAATCATCCGGGACTGGAGAGAGAAGACTTGTCAAAAACAATTTATTGTGTTTTAAATTCAAAAATATGGGATGCCGTCCGCGAAGGTTGATTTATGAATGATTCATCGTGCAAAACTGCATTGCTGACGCATAACTCGAAACCTTCATTTAAATGAATGTATTGGTTAAAGTGTGGATATTTTTACGCAAGGAATACATAATCATCTTTCTCTGCTTGAAAAGTTTTTGGTGAAACATCCAGAAAGTTTTGAAGAATTAATGGAATCCATATAAATTCAAACCCGCCGAAGTGAACAGCAGTGGAGTTTTTGGGAAAAATCTTCCGAAAATCTAAAAAAATCAACAATGATACCTCTCAGCAACTGTAATGAAGAAAATCTGGACTCGAGCATTTCTGTGCATGATATACACTGTTTCCTATAATAATTTGAATATATTTTCATAAAACATTAATTTCCTATGTCTTTGCTCAACGCTAATCAGATTCTTCAGGCGACTAAACGGTATAGATTCAATATCGAATAATAAGACCAATATTTATGCGGTCAAACAACTTCAATATTTCCTCAGAGCGAATAAAGTAATTATCATTCTAGTTTTTAATACAGTGGCACCTTTAATGTAATTGTTCGAAAGTGATCTCCAAATAATACATCATTGTTCTTGATTTTTTTCATTGAGAACGAAAAAAACGGGATTCAGATTCCTTATTTGTTTCGATTCGGAAGCGACATATGATGGTCAATTTGAATTTTTTTCCGCCACATGTTATATAGAATGAATTTCATAACGTGATAATAATCGAAAAATCCGTGTTTTTGTTTCGTAAAAATGCAGTAATAATTTATTCACCAAACCTTCACACAGGACACGATTCCACGCAACAATGAGACACCGAAAAATTAACATCGCTCAGCGGAACGATGAAGTGAAGCACAAAAAGAATAATCACGAGACGGGAAAAAATAAAACCAAAGTCACGAATCACGATACTCAACGAACAAATGGCACAATGAAAAAGTACTCCCTTAAAGCAAACACGAAAAGCCAGCAACGAATTCATACGATGAAGAATACACGAGCCAGCAGACAATACTTTATTTTTATATGATATTAAAGCTCGAAAAATATTCAACCCCAAAGTCATGCATTTGTTGATGACTCGTATACCTAATACCCAGATCCAAAATAAATAAATAAATAAATACGGCAATTCGCAGAAAAATGTGTTCGATTACCGAATTCTTCTTCTTTCGAATTTCCTGAGATACGCGTTCGGGTATCAGGAATAATAAATAAGACCAGATGAAATCCCAAGTGCTAAACTATGGGAATGACACGGACAAAGACGAGATACTGTATATATGAACTGCTGCTGGACCTCTGTATAATCGGGAATCGGCGAATAAATAATCTTGCTGGACGACGCACAAAATAAAATACCCGACGAATACAAAAATAGACACTCTCCTGACGCATAATCTAAGACATATAATACTCATCATAAGCATGCCTGATGATGATGTGCTGCTGGTCGAACTCCAAAAAGTCAGGTAACGGCATCAATCAGATTCGGTTTTTTAACCCTATTTCTTTCTCCTTTTTTCCCTCGCAATAAGAGAAAGAAAAAAAAGAAATATATATGAAAATGGGTCCCCATTTTTTTTTAGTATTGCGGACGGTAGGCCGGTTTGTAAGCAGGAGCAGGCACGTAGACGGGCTTGTGGGAATACGCAGAGGGCTTGTAGGAGTCGTACTTGGCCTCGCCCTCGTAGTTGACGTTGGCGTTGTAGCCGTACTCGTCGGCGGTGTAGGAGACGATCTGGTAGCGGCCGTCGGGCAGGAGGGTCTTGTACTCGCCTTGGGTCTTGTAGCCGTCGCGCTGCTCGGCGTGGTTGTAGTCGTTGCCGGAGTAGTCGTCACGCACGGCCCATTGGAACTGGTATTGTGGGTTCTGCGAAGAAGTTTGCGACGAAATTGTCAATTCCCTAGCTGTCACGCCGACACATTTTAAGAAATACTGTAGTGTAAAGATAATTTCGAATAATAAATTATAGAGTTATTTTTTGGTCGTCCCTCGTCACGGCGGAACTGGTATTGTGGGTTCTGCGATGGGAAACACAAGGAATGCGTATTTGAAGTCATCAGTGCTGCATGCCGCTCACAGGACATTTTGGGAGGTTTTAAATATGATTTCGAATATTTAAAAAAATTTGCAATGATTTTTTATTTATCCCTGCGGACGGTCCAGTATTGAAACTGGTAATGTGAATTCGGCAATGACGATTGTGACGAAGTTGTTCATTCACTGTCACACCGAAGGTTTAAAAAAAGGATGAAGATAATTTCGAATTATTAATTAAAGTGGCTCATTGGAACTGGTATAGTGGGTTCTGCGATGGGAAATAACAAAAGGAACGCGTATGAAGTCATCCCTGCATGCCACTCACAGGACATTTTGGGAAAATTTAAATAGATTACAAATTTAAACAAATTTTGCAATAGATTTTTTAGTTGTCCCTGCTGACGGTCCATTATTGGAACTGGTATTATTGTGGTTTTTGCGACGAATATTGCGATGAGGAAATTGTTCATCCACTTTCACACCGACACATTTTAAGAAAAAGTGTAAAAAGATAATTTCGAATAATTAATTAAAATTATTTTTGGTCGTCCCTCACGGCCCATTATTGGAACTATTATTGTGGGTTCTGCGATGGGAAACACAAGTAATGCGTATGAAGTCATCATCACTTAGCTGCATTTACCTCACAAGGCATTTTGGGTAATTATAGATATAATTTTTTAAGCATAATTTATTGCGATGATGCTTTCGTTGTCCTTGATCGCCAAATAAAACTGGTATCGTGGTTTCTGCGGTGAAAATTGCAATGACGAAATTTTTCCTTCACTGTCAGGCAGACACATTTTGGAAAAATATTTAAAGAAAATTTCGAATAAAGTAGTACAATTATTTTTTAGTTGTCCCTCGCGGCCCATTGGAACTGGTATTCTGGCTTCTGCGATGGGAAACACACCGATGTCATCACTATACCACCCCCAAGACATTTTGGGAAATTTCGAATATGACTTTGAATAAATAATGTATTGCAATTCTTTTAGTACTCCCTCACGGCACATCATTGGAACTGGTCCTTATGTCGGTTATCTTATACCGAGTAAAACTCAGTTTTCATTCGAATTGAAAAACGGAATCCGTATTTTCTTTCGCCGTTTTAAACGCTGAACATGAAATATCAAGGTGGTGTTCCGTCCTTATTTTAGTCCAACATCAGCAATCTAAAAAGAAGAAGAACGGTTCCTCATCTATATAGCCATCATACAAGATGATTTTTTTTTTAATTCGCGGTATTTTTCACTGTAGTGTTCCCGCAAAATATTTTTGCAAGGTACGTCATCGAGGATCGAAAAGGGGTGCAGAATTAAAATTATTGGGTCAGTAATTCACAACAATTTATTTTTCCTGCGGTGACGAGGCTCTCGAATATTTTGAGGATTTTCAGGATTACGGTTGGTATACGCTTTTTCCCTTCAACATGCAGCTATACAATAAATTTGAACGAACATCACGAAATTTATCTGATCGAATTCATTCTTTCCGTGAAGCCTCCCTGGAATTTCACGAAAAGCCCAGGTTGAAAATCATCTAGCACTTATTTCAGTTTGGTTTATTTTTATTTTGGCTATGTGCTTTTTTTACCTATTCGTATCTTGATGTTCGCAAAGTTTAAAAAAAATTTAAGCACAATTTCTTGGCACCAAACAGGCGAATCGAAAAAATTCGTCGACATGTTCAAATCGGATTGTTTTATTGATATTTTAAATCAAGGTACTTTTATCTACGAGGCAGAGAAATTAAGGAAGAAGTGGTTGATCTAACATTTGACTTACGCTGTCAAATGGTTCGATAAATTTTCTTCACCCGAAACGCGTGATCATTTTTGAAAATGATGAACCTGCACACACATTTTTTGAAAATTTTAAATGAAATACCTGTACTGTATTGTGGATCGAGGGTTCAAACTCAAACACTGAATATGTTTTGCAAAACCCTATTCAAGAAACCAGAACAAAAGAAAACTAACACACACACACACTCACACACACACACACACACATAAAAACACACACTGAAATTACAATGGGTGACTTCAATGTTTTTCTCATCTCAAAATGTTCAATCACGCATATAGTATTTGAAGGAAAATATTTTCCGTACGTGTTGCGTAAGGAATGTTTAAATAATAATGGTTGAGCAAAGGTTGTGTCTCTCTGTTTTCTAAAAAAAAGATCATTGAAGCTTTCAAATGGAATAATCGTTAGTTCATTGAATTATTTTCGGAAAAATTACGGTAATTAATTTTACGCGTGGAGTTTAAAAAGCCACATTTCTCTAGGCAACGTTTTTATGACTTTATCGTCAGTACTTCGTTGAAGGATAATTCTAGGGTTGCATGAACAAACAGCCTGAGGACAATCTAATTCTGCGGTACCGATTTCGGTCAACAGTTATGAGCGTAATATAAGGCGCAACTAATCATATTTCGCGTTGCAGCCATTTTGAAATAATGCCGAGTTTTTTTGGGAACCCAAATGTCTCGTTCGGGCGTAAAAAAAAAAAGTAGTGGAGTGAGTGAAAAAAAAAACTCCGGGAAATGAAGGACGCCCCTAGAAAACTGAGCTACAAATTTACGATTGATCAAGATTGACACGTATTTCTTTAGACCGGCGAAACTAATTCAGTGGCTAAAAAAATTTTCAGCCTTCGCCGAGACATTAAAAACGGCTGTTATACAGTTGAAAATTTTTAAAAATTGGCTGAAATACAGTTTTCAATGAAAGTTCTTTTCGCGGCTGCTTTTTCCCCCGAAATCTAATGTGAAGGCGAGGGATCTTTCGGGAGCGATGGAGAATAATATTTGTGAGAAATTATCTTTGACCAGTGAAACTTCTATCCGTTAAAAATCTAATTTTAATTTGCAACATTTTTATGCAATGATGGATTGGATAAGCATAGCTTGTTTCCAGAAATTCAAAATTGTCCTCAAGTCCGGTTGCGTATAGGAAATTGTGTGATCAAAACTTAAAATCAGCAAAATTTTTAAAACAAATATTCGAGTAAATCTCACAAGCTGAATTTGTTTTATGCCCGTGGGATTTTATCATGTAGAGAAAAAATCATGTGTGGCTTTCCCTCACATGTTGCTTCTATAATACTCTTCAATCAATTCAAACCTACGGAAAACTTGGGGGACAATATTAAATGTAACCAGAAAAGTTAATCGAAAGTTTAAAAAAGTGCAAGATTTTTTTTTTGATGAAATAACCTCTCACAAAAGAAAAGAAACCCGAGACTGAGAATCCACCAAAGGACATTAAAGCTTTTAATGTAATTTCCGCGAGTAAATTTTTAGTTTTGAAGGATTTCCTAAATGGGGATGTGTCGAGAAATAATTTTCAAACGAAAATGCGACTTGAATAATATGCTGAAAAATGTGTCCAATTTTGTGATGGAAATTAGAAGGTACATCGATTTTTTCCTAAAGCATGAATGATCCAAACCTCAAAAAAGTTCTTTGAACATTCGTTTCAGGTATGTTGCACGTTACTGCCGCTAGTCTCACTTTGATTCTGTTTCTATATGGCATGCGAATAATCTGTTTATTCAGCAACTTAAATCATCGTCCATGAAGAAAATTTCACAGAAAACAAAATATCTGTATCGAGTTATTTTTACCGCAGAAGTTATCCACACTGCTACAGTGTAATACAACTTTTCTGAATGAATGAACAGAACACTTTATTTGCTGCTTTTCAGCATTCACGAGGTTCAATCAAGATCTCCACAACCAAACCTCTCCTCATGGGGAACCGAACTGCAAATTTACGATTGATCAAGATTAACACGTACAGTACTTCTATATAGACCGGCGAAACTAATTCAGTTGCTATAAAATTTTCAATTCGAACTTTTCTGAGAATGCACTAATTCCCACTGCAAATAGAGCTCCAGCTTTCGAAGCTGCACCAAAGTGTGTATAGTTGCGGTACTTACGTCATTGTAGTACTCGTCTTTGCCGTAGCCCGCAGGCTTGTAGGCGGGTTTGTAGACCGTCGGCGCCGGGACGTAGGCGGGCTCGTAGGAGGACGCCGCCGGGTAATAGGGCGCCGGTGCGTAGGCGGCAGGCGCGTACGCAGGCTTGTACACCGGCTTGTACACCGCCGGCCTGTACGCCTTCCCGTACGACGGCCTGATGTCGCTCACGGCGACGGCAACCAGAGCTGCCAAAATCGCAATCTGCAGGTGACATTAACACAATCAGAACATTATGAAAAGCACGATCGAATAAATCCTTGCAAGAAAATTAAGCGAGAAAAGATGTAAATTTTCTTTTTCTGTCAAGGCACTGTCCTGAAACTCTGCTCTTATCCGGGCTGAAACATAGCAGGGAAATTTACCTTCGATCGTATATATACAGAGGTGTTGAAATTTATCTTGAGAATATTTCATGGCATTGTTTTTTTCTTCAAATAATTTACGAGGATATAGGTATATAAATGCAACTGGCAGTGTGAAAAAAAAGGCGGATAGATATGTTGAATTTCCTTTTAGAAAAACAGAAAGCAATTCCATTTCTGAAATTATGGACATAAAAAGGAAACAATACCATTTCAACCTCGAAGTTTTTAGTTTTCCAATTCGAAAAAAAACTGTTCTCTGAGATTTCCGGGGGATTCTTTCTTATAGCCAATCATTTATTCGAACATCAGTCCTCAGGGAAATATCGTTCAATTTTTCTCTGTTCTGCATCAATTCGAAATGTTGGGAAGATACATCTCACAACATTCGGACAGATAACGATAACCATATCAGAGCGAGATTTCGAAAAAAATAAGCCAAAATTTTCACAACTAATTCTTTCATAAAAGAATTCCAATGCTTTTTCTTTGAAGATTGATGTGAGACGCTGACTTGACAATTCTTCAGCTGTGCTTAATAAAAAACAGGTCCGAGAAGAAAATGAAAGCCATAATTTCAAATACGAGTAGTATAGAAAACTTGTAGATTCGATAACTCAGAAATAAAAATATTGAAGTAGCGTTTTCTCCACGGTAGATTTCTTGATATTTTCCTATTCTGTAACATAATTTTCCGTTATATTTAGGAAAAACCGGTTGAACCCAGAAAAGTAACTGCTGTGCTTCTATTCAAAGTGGTGATGGTCACTTGTCAAGTATCTGTAATTCTTAAGAAAATAAGTTGGAAACTCCCTTTCTAATAATTGTAAGAAACTGATTGTAGAAAGGGTGATCATTCTATCGCGAGATTCCAAAAATCCTCTGGAAATCACATTCTTCTCAATGGGTTATTTTCGGTTTATTGAGTATATAATAGCAGTTGATAAATTGCGTAATTTTAATTTCCTGATGCCATTTTTTTCTTTTGTTTCGGCATTGAAGCATAGACGAAGTATGACCAAATTTATAAATCGTCGCCAGCAGAGAAGAGAACAAGGGCGTTCCGGATGGTTACATTCGAGCAGTACAGTATATATACGTTATAGATCCACAGTATATATCACGGGAAAAAAAAAATGCCTCACCTTGAAAGCCGACATGTCGTGTTTGATTCGAGTGTCTGTTACTGTTTTTTTTTCTTTCTTTATTGTTGCTCCCGAGTCCCGACTTATTGAGCTCCTGAGACAAGACTGAAAGCAATGATCACTGTGCGTGGAATCGAACGGAACTGACTCGAATGATGCTTGGGAACCCAAGTCCGCTCCCGTTTATATACTCGCCTCGCCCACGTTTGTGGACTGCGACACTAAAAGACCGAGTCGCCCCCCACCTTCCGGCCCTCCCGTGGAAAACGTAACCCTGATGGGTGGGTGGGTTTCAGCGCCACTTGCAAGGGGAACGCGATTCTGGATTATCATTCTTGCCTTGGGGCACGGGAGGCCCGGCAAGGACGTATTACACTATAATGCCGTACTACTTTATTGTCGCAAGTCGCTCTAGATTGTATATAGCTGTAACTTTGACTGACTTGCTTCGTCCAGCTTCCAGCATTTCTATGAGGCATTCGATCGCCACATCATCACAGACTCCGATCATTATACTGCCTAATTTGTGGACCCCTGGCGAAATGCCCTTTTTTATTGAGGCAAACCCAGTGGAATCATGTGAAAAGAGTAGTACTGTACTACCTATCCGATTTGGATGTGGCCAAGGGGCACACATCGCAGAGGTGGAGAGTCCTTGTGGGCCACAATACACAATTTTACAGTTTTCAGGTAGAAGTGTCAAATTTAACTTTTTTTTCTGGCAGTCAGGATATTTTGCGAAATTGTGTGCACATGAGCACTGAAAAAAAATTACAGTATTCATGAACCAATGTCAAAGTTGGGAAAAATTCCAATATATTTGTTTTTCAGTATCCTGCAGAAAATTTTGCCTCAAAAATAAAAACCAATTCTTCATTGGGTGTTATTTTCTTGCATTCCTATAGCATATGAAAATCAGTGGAGATTTAAAAAAAAAAATGGATACACCCTTCAAAGATTTTTCCCAACCTCAGCCTTCTCAATGCTCACATGTACTTCAGTAACCTTGGGTCAAATTTAAATGCACCTGGGGGCAAAAAAATGCAGACTTTGCCAGCAAGGGATGGAAGAGTGGCTGTCATTAACCCTTGGGCACCAGAGCCAGGATTTATCTGCAAAGTGTTGTGTCCCATGGAGAAGAAAAGAGGGGGAAAATGATTACAAGAGCCAAAATTGGGAAAAATCCCAAATTTATTTAACATTCCTGCAGAAAAATTTGCAAGAAATCAAGAAGATAGGTACTGTTGGGTTGAACTTTTTCTGCAGTCCTGCCGTAGGTTTAGCATTTGGTATTATCAGGATAATGACTTTCTTTTTGTGGGATTTCTCCCAACTTTGGCAACTCAGCCAAAGCTGCATTTTGGTGACCTTTGGTCAAACCAAAATGCAGAAGCCTGCAAAAATCGTGGCACCACTGCGCATTGCAAAAGAACCCACTAGCTGCCACCCAAGGGTTACAAAAGGTTCTTTTTCTTGCTATGAATTGAACAAGATGCATACTTACAGGTTTTGAAGGCCAGAGCAGAATTTTGAATCTTTAAACTCATCTTTCAAAACATAGTTTGAATAATGGTGGCTGCCACCTTGAAAGCTATAGTGAAGGTACAGTGGGATTGAGGAAAAGCTTTTTCAGGCAGTATTTGGCCCGCGGGCCGTACGTTGGGCGGCACTGCAAAATAGCAATCAGTTGCTGATCACATAAAAAATTGCGAAGGATATATTTTGTCTTTTTTCTTAGGACAATACTGGTAAGATTTTGTTATTTCCGTGATGCCGGCTCTTGGGTTAGCAACGAAAATTTAATGATGAAATCGTCACCATCTAAAAACATAGACGAAAAACATTGTAGCTTCTTCATTGTTACGTAGCGTAAAAGACTTACTTACCTTACTGCCACAGTTAGGTTGATTTTAAACACGCGTCCTTTCTAAGAAACGCTTTATATAACTAAAAAGCGCCTTTCCTGCGGCCGAAACTTACTAAAAACGTTCCGAATGCAAACGATATAGTTTGATATGTTTGTTATAGTTGCGTGAAATTTGTAATGTTACAGTAACAAAAGAAAAATATAGCCGTGAAGAACAGAGCAATAAGTGCGATTTTATCTATGCATAACAGCTCGCATGACGGTCTTAATTATTTTCCTGGTTTCTGATTTTGTTTCGAGCCTCACGAAGTCAAAGAAAACCCTGAGTACCCATAAATCGGTTTTTATTTCAGCAACGCTGGTAATGACATGATACGAGCACTTGGGACGCGTCATCATTATTTAGTATACAGTATATTTACATTAATTGGCTCATAGCCCATTCTTTCTCTTTGGAATTATGGATTGAGTTTATTACACCATGTACAACTCTAATACGACGTGTGAATTTTTTTAGTCATCTTTTGTAACCTTGATTCTGTATCAGTGTTTTTTTCAATCTTAGCATACTTTCCGCTATCCAAAATGTAAAACTTTCAGTGTTTTTCTTTATATTTCGTTATTCGAAATGAACTATCTCCAGCTTTCAATGAAGAGGTATCTAATTTACTCGTATCTAAATACATATTCTCAGCAAACAAGAAAAAACATTGAAAACGGGTTTTTCTCGGGTATATTTGAGTACATTATTCATTCTTTTCACCCGCAGGAGCAACGAATATTCTAACGCACGGAATTTTTTTTGCGATTCAAAATTGGAAATCAATGTAGCTTGAAAATTATGTACTGTACTGTGAAAAAATCATTCACCCTCTCCTGTTTGACTACGTCTGTTACGACATTTTTGTACTATACTTCGACAAATATGTAAGTGTGGGGCACTGCTTAAAGAACCAGGCTTCAGCCAGTAGAAGTGCATAACGTTGCTTTTTATAAGTTTAATGTAGGAAGAAAAATACTGGAGATGCAAAGATTCACTCATTTTTTTATCAAGTTACAGTATTGTGTTTCAAAATTTTGACCTCCTAATATGTGATGATGCTTTGCTGGATGCTGCGTTTTATTCACAATACGATTTGACAGGAAACAAATTGGCAATATAATAATCCCAAGACTTTCTCTCGAATTTTTAATTTCAGGAATGATTTCGTTTTTGAAATGTCAAAAAAGGCAATAGCCCGAAGAGGATTCCGGGGCCTCGTTGTAAAATTTGGATGACGCCATTCAAGTTGTGAATGGATTAAAAACCACCCTGATGTACTCGATTAACTCAGTGGTAACCTGGTAGGGAAGTTTGTGTCTTAAGTTACGATCCAATTAATCGTTTGTATATTTTCGCACTTCCAGCAAAACCAACCTCATCAATCCAAATTTTTCTCAAAAATTTGTCTTGCTTAAGATTTGGTTGATTAATTTGTTTTGTGGACTGAAACTCAATTTCTTTCGTCGTTGCGGTGTGGACTCTCTGCGGCTGTACATTTTTTCTTCATGCATTATAGTCGCCATGATGACCGAAAATTCGGAATTCTATCTTCCAAATGACATATTAGTTTGCATAATTATGTAGTTTGTGTCATTGCTGAATTAATAGAGAGAGACTCCTCTTCTTAAATCACGAGAACTACCAATAAGTTCTGGATACATGGATTTTGCGCAAATAATAGGATTTTGAAAGAATTCCATAGTTTGGAAATCCGTGTATTTAGGTCCTCTAACTTTACCTTTTATATCTGGAAAACCATTAATATCATTCAGAAAAAATGGCGAATTCTAGGTAATAATGGAAACATTCCGTTTTTAGATAACAACCTTATGTAGTGGAAAACAACTCTTACACCCTGCAGATTTTCTTGGGAAAAATCGGCACATTTGACTTCGATCTTTGCTACTCTGAACATGAAGTTACCATAGCTTCGAATCAAAAGTTTCTCAAATATATTGAACAGCTCTTCTGACATTGAAAATTGATGTAAACATATCATTACCTTCAAACTTTATATATAAACCAAATACAAAGGAAAATGCGAGGAAGCTTAGACCTTGATTCGAAAGAGTCAAATAATCGACATGTTGTGACGGTTGTCATGGGTCCATTGGATCCCAGACAAAGGAATTGAATTGTGCAGCCATCAGAATGCAAGTTTTGAATAAGAACTCAAACTCTTCTTCAGAGGAGTTTATTCTCATTGCCCAGTTCATCAATTGGCTGTTAATTCAATATAATGGCAGAGTCAATGGTTAAATTGATTGGTTAGCTCAGAATAATGATGAGATAATTTAATTCAGGTTAAAGGCCCTTTAACACTAGGTTATGACTGCTTGACTTTTCTCTCCAAGA